CCACTATTTTTACCGAGAGTATCTCGAAGAAGAAATATCCATTGTATAAAGAATATCAGAAGACTACTAGTATGTTAATTCCATGGTTCCCGGGACCTGATCTCATAAGGAAAACAACATAGACAGATCAAATTCATAATTTTTATTGGATTAATTTCATATACTTTCGTATATCAATTTTAAGAGATATCATTAGTTCCAATATCTGTTTCTAAATAAAGTTTAAAGAAAGTATATAGTCTGACTATTGTGCAGTTGTCACCAACTTTTCTAGAAAGGATGCGGTCAAGCGAGGGTTAAAAACTGCAAATAACTAAAACATTTATGAATATCGTGGTGAAAGATATATTCATGCTTGAATTTTTACAAACTTCTTGGTTACCTTCAATTTGCCATCACACGTAATATGGCCCACATTGGTCGAGATCTTGGAAAGGTTCAAAGACGTGAACTTGATACGTAAACAATGGAAAAAATGGGTTTCAATGCTTTCCATTATGCTTAGTGTTTCTAAGTTTATACAGATTCCACGATTTGATTAAATATAATTGAGAAATAGTATATTAATTATTTGCCTTAATGTTAGAAATACTTACGTTCAGCACCATTTTGAGTTTTTCTTTCAGTGATTTTTTTTTTATTAGAAAAATTTGTAAACAATGCAATACTTGATAAAGTAATGCTAATAGTACCTGTTATAAAGACGTTTTGTATCCTCAAATGAAATCTTTAACGTGATATTTTTTATTTCAGCAATATTTGGAATTGAGTATGTAAGCTCAATTTGCCTTGATGCAGATGGAGAACTGGGTAAATCTGTGTAATTTGTATTATATGTATAAATGGTTCACAAAGAATCTAACAAAAGGATCAAGCGACAATAATTATAAAGAAAATTATAAAAATTTTCCTTGGTTAAAGACAAATTTTGCCCACTCTTTAACAATGCTCTTTAAGTTGGAAGACTGCAAATGATACCGACAAATTCTACAATCGAATTGCCTTTGGATCCATTCGATGAAAATAGTTGTGATTCGTTGTGGAGCCTTAATAATCATGAGAGGGTAATGACTAAATGAGACTGAAATTAGGTTCACTCATTTTAGTTTATGTTATCTTTCAAGGCTGATAATTATCTCAAAATAATTGATAACATACGACTAGTGTTTGTATCATTGCCATGCCTATTACTTGGAAACAATATTATGTGAAATTTTTGTTCTGTTGACGATCCTTAACCCATAATTATGGTTAGTAAATTTCAAGACAATCTCGTTTTGCAAATGATAAATAATTATATATACTTTTAGGTCTGAATTGTATCTCTATTCCTATTGGCAAATCGTTCAAAGCTGGGTGCGAAATGATGTAACAACTTCGTTTAATAATAAAATTTTGTTTCAATGTCGTGAATCTGCCTTATACTTAAAAACACAAGTATACCATTCCACTCTGGTACATTAATTCTTGAAATAACTACATCCGTTACTCTTCCTTCCTTTAACATATTAATATTTTCGAATTCCTCTGAACTGTCAAAAGGAAGAATTCCAGTCATTTGCCCCTCAATAAACTTTTGAATCTCTTTCGCGTATTGGCATAATTTAGAAAGTTCGAACTTGTAAAGTGGTGTACAACGATATAATGTAAACGACTTATTTATTAAAACGTCTGATATATGAAGAAGGTTAACACACGTGTCGTTCATTAAAATGTATTCTGAAATAATTTCTTACTAGCATCCGAACTCTGTATTGCACTGTCTAATTCATCTTCTGGACTGTCTTCTCTTAAGGATCTATTTCTTTTTCTAAGATTAGAAATTCTTGACATCTTAGAGAAAAAGACGCGA